ACCCCTTATAGGAGTTTTAGAGTCCTGAAATATTGTATTTTTTAGTTTTTTCATAAAATGATAGTGTAAGAGTTATCTCCCTTTGTCAATCTGTTTATAGTGTAATATTCTCTCTATGTTTCAATTTTGGTATGTATATGAAGAGTACTTCCGGTTTTATAATATCCTTAAAATTCCCTATGGAGATTTCTATGTTAAATTTGAAATCACGTTTGTTTTTTTATTTCAAAAGTACAGCATGCAATTCTTGTGATATTTCACATGAATAATAATTTTTGTACTATCTTTAAGGGGTTTGGTCATGAAAACAAAGTTCCCCAAAATAAAAGGGATTTTAGGGGCCAGAATAGAAAAACAGTTTTTTGACTGTAACTTTTTTATTTCGCACCATATCTTCAAATTTATTTCGGTTTTGAGTTAAGCATAAGAAGGACATTTAAAAAATTTTGGTCCGTGGGGTCACTCTTTGATCCCTTATCGGACATTTAGAGATCTGAAATATTGTATTTTTCAGTAGTATCAAAAATAATTGTGCAACAGTTATCTCCCGTTGTCCACCTTTCTGGAACCTAATATTTCCTCTATGTTTCAATTTTGGTATGTTTATGAAGAGTACTTCCGGTTTTATGAGTCCCTTAAAATTGTCTATGGAGATTTCTATGTTAAATATGAAATCATACAATGTCCCATATCTCAAAAAGGAAGTAAGCAATTCTCGTGATATTTCACATGAATAATGACTCAATCATTGTCTACAGTTTGTAAGTTCATGGAAATAAAATCCCTTAAATAGAAGGGATTTTAGGGGTAAGTACAGAAAACAGCTTTTTCTCTATAACTTTTTTTTTAATTTCTCAACCAATTTTCAAACTAATTCTGGTTTTGCATTAAGCATAAGGAGTACAGTTAAAAAATTACAGGCCGTGGGGTCACCTCAGACTCCTTATAGGAGTTTAATTGGATTGAAAATTAGTATATTTTCGTATGTTTTAAATATTTATGAAAGAGTTATTTCTCTTTGAGTAGACACTGGTGGACAAAGAGAATTGTTATGTTTTCGTTTCAGAATTGATCTCAAAAGAACTTTGTGCGATATTGTATTATTTGATATTTATTTTTACTGTGTAATATAAGACTCTTCTTTTTAAGGGGTCGAAAAGCCCTCCGTTTTTGTTGAACGACAAAAATAAGGTCTAGTTATTATTATTATTATACCGAACACTTCTATCGTTCAGCATATGGGGAGAACCTCTAAGACTAGGTGTTTTATTTAATAACCGCTAAATAGCAAATTTAAATTTCACTTGCGTGAAACAAGAACAACTTCCGGTATAGTCACTTCCGGTCTCTACCGGAGGAAAACTGAAATTTCTAAAGAAGCCGAAAACATTTTTAATTTTAATGTCTAGACTCTCAAATTTTAGATATGAATTCTAGACACCTTATTCAATAAATAAGTGCGCGTAGGTAAATTTTGACCACAGATACTTTTCGAGATATAAGACTTCAAACATTGAAGAAGGGGGGAGAAAATTTTTGAAAGTCACAGTTACGTTACCAAAATTATTTTGAGCATAAAAATATGTTAGAACTAATTAGTAGAACATATACTGTAAGTTTCATATCAATCAGAACAGAACTTCCGGTTTTATGGGTCTTGAAAGTTTTATTTTAAATTGAAATTAATCATGCCACATTATCTCTTAAAGTAATTAACATTTTCTTGTAATATTTTGTATACAGAATAACTCTGATGCTGTTGTGACATCATCAGAATAAAAAATTAAAATTTTGGAAAATAAGGGATTTCTAGGGGCCAACATTGAAAACGGACCTTTGCCTGTATTTTTTTTATTTCTCAATGAATTTTCAAATAGTTTTCAGATTTTTCTTAAGGATTAAAAGGACACTCTAAAAAATATGGTCCGTGGGGTCACTTTTTGATCCCTTATAGGAGTTGTAGAGACCTGAAATATTGCATTTTTTAGTCTTTTAGAAAATATTTGTGCAATAGTTATTTCTCTTTGTCCATCTGTTTGTAACGTTATATGCTCTCTATGTTTTAATTGTGGTATGCATCTAAAGAGTACTTCCGGTTTTATGAGTCCCTTAAAATTGCCTATGGAGATTTCTATGTTGAATTTGAAATCACGTTCCATTATCTTAAGAGGTGGGCATGCAATTCTCGTGAAATTTCATATGAATATTGACTAAAGCATTGTCTCTAGAGGGTAAGGTCATGAAAATAAAAATCCCTTAAAAAAGAAAGGATTTTAGGGGTCAGTACAGAAAACGGCCTTTTCCCTGTAACTTTTTTAATTCTCAACCAATCTTCAAACTAATTTTGGTATTATATCAAGCATAAAGAGTACAGTTTAAAAATTATGGGCCGTGGGGTCACTTTTTGACCCCTTATATGAGTTTTAGTGGATTGAAAAACAGTACATTTTCGTATGTGTTTAATAATTACGAAAGAGTTATGTCTCTTTGAGTAGACACTGATGTATAAAGAGTAGTGTTACGTTTCCAAATAAGTATTGATCTCAAAAGAACTTTTTCGATATTGTGCTATATGATATTTTTTTTACTGTGTAATATTGATTTTCTTTTAAGATTCTTTATTTTAAGGGATCGAAAAGCCCTCCGTTTTTGTTGAACGACAAAAAGATCTAGTTATTATTATTATACTGAACACTTCTATCGTTCAGCATTTAGGGAGTACCTTTGAGAATAGGTATATTATTTTGTAACCAATAAATAGCAAATTAAAATCTCTCGTGCGTGAAACAAGAACAACTTCCGGTATAGTCACTTCAAGTTTATACTAAAGGAAAACTGAAATTTCTAAAGAAGCCAAAAACGTTTTTAATTTTAGTGTCTAGACTCCCAAATTTGAGATATGAATTCTAGAGACCTTATCCAATAAATAAATGCGCGTACGTAACTTTTGACCACAGATACTTTTCAAGATATAAGACTTCAAACATTGAAGAAGGGGGGATGAAATTTTTGAAAGTCACAATTACGTTACAAAAATTATTTTGAGCATAAAAATATGTTAGAACTAATAAGTAGAACATATACTGTAAGTTTCATATCAATCAAAACAGAACTTCCGGTTTTATGGGTCTTTAAAGTTTTATTTTAAATTGAAATTAATCATGCCACATTATCTCTTAAAGTAATGAAGATTTTCTTGTAATATTTTGTATATGAAATGACGCTGATGCTGTTGTGACATCATCAGATTAAAAAATTAAAATTCTGGAAAATAGGGGATTTCTAGGGGCCAACATTGAAAACGGACCTTTGCCTGTAACTTTTTTATTTCTCAATGAATTTTCAAATAGTTTTCAGATTTCACTTAAGGATTAAAAGGACAGTCTAAAAAATATGGTCCGTGGGGTCACTTTTTGACCCCTTATAGGAGTTGTGAGACCTGAAATATTGCAATTTTTAGTCTTTTAGAAAATATTTGTGCAAGAGTTATCTCTCTTTGTCCATCTGTTTGTAACGTTATATGCTCTCTATGTTAATTGTGGTATGCATCTGAAGAGTACTTCCGGATTTATGAGTCCCTTAAAATTGCCTATGGAGATTTCTATGTTGAATTTTAAAACACGTTTGTTCCATTATCTCAAGAGGTGGGCAAGCAATTCTCGTGAAATTTCATATGAATATTGACTCAAGCATTGTCTCCAGAGGGTTAGGTCATGAAAACAAAAATCCTTAAAATAAAAGGATTTTAGGGGTCAGTACAGAAAACGGCTTTTCCCCTGTACATTTTTTAATTCTCAACCAATCTTCAAACTAATTTTGGAATTGTAACAAGCATAAAGAGTACAGTTTAAAAATTATGGGCCGTGGGGTCACTTTTTAAGCCCTTATAGGAGTTTTAGTGGATTGAAAAACAGTACATTTTTGTATGTGTTTAATAACCACGAAAGAGTTATGTCTCTTTGAGTAGACACTAAAGTACAAAGAGAAATGTTATGTTTCCAATTTTGTATTGATCTCAAAAGAGCTTTTGCTATATTGTATTATATGATTTTTTTTACTGTGTAATATTCATTTTCTTTTAAGATTCTTTATTTTAAGGGATCGAAAAGCCCTCCGTTTTTGTTGAACGACAAAAATAAGGTCTAGTTATGCTTGTATCTGTTTCATTTACTCTATATTTTGGACAGGTTTTGTCCTTCAAAAATGAATACAGTAACTAAAGATATTTTTTACGCTAGCAATTTAAACTAAATCATTTCATTTTGCAAATGAGAATTTTAATCAATTCAAGTTTTCGGTCTAAGCCATACGTTCTTTTGTAATTAAAATGAACCTCGGATCAATACAGATGTCTTACTCTTGGTATCCTTGATGTAGTATACAATAGTTGACTGTAATAAATCAATGTTTCAAAGTTTTCACTATAGTAAATCAAAGATCTAAACTTTTCACCACAGTTTTTCAAAATTCTAATGTTTTCCCTACAGTTATTCAAAGTTCCAAAGTTTTCGCTTCAGTAAATCAAAGTACAGAGTTTTCGCTAAATCAAAGATCCAACATTTTCACTATTATTATAATAGTAAATCAAAGTTCAAAAGTTTTTACCAAATTAAATCAAAGTCCACAGTTTTGACTATAGTTTTCAAAAATTCCAAGTTTTCACTATTGTATATCAATTTTCCAAGGTTTTCACAATAGTAAATCAAAGTTCCACGGTTTTTCTAAAAACTATAGTACCTCCAAGACATCTGACCCCATCTCTGATGTTTCAGAGATCCGTGTTTGCTCTGCTCCTACATGTGCATCTTGTATTGTAAAATGCATTTTTGAACTTGAATACTGTTTTTATTCTCAATATATTTCTTAGTAATTTTAACACTATGAAATGTGATTTTGTCAATCGATATATCTGTGCACGCATAATTTTTTGTCTTGAATAGATCCAACCCACAAAAGATGAGAATTTTCGTCATAACTCATACCCCAAGGGCCCCATATACCGTGTTCTGTTGTCAATAGCAAGCGAAGAAATGTGCCATCCTTGTCAATCATATGCACTGTGCTTAAGCTTTGGTTAGCTATGAGGATGTTTGACAGTGGATCTGTACAAATATCAGTTGCTTCTAGTTTCAGTCGGGGGTCATTTTCTGATCCATAGTAAGTAAAGCGATGACATCCATTTTGATCTGTCACAACTAGACGTGATGATGGCCCAAGAAGGATATCATGAATCAGGTCAAAAACAATAATATCCCCGTTTCTGTTTTCTGAGATACATTCAGGGTCAATATAAAGATTATTACCCTTGTCATCAAACTGGACGGTCTGTGTTTCTTCTAATCCATTAAATCTAACAATTTTTGTCTCTACATCAACAACTCCAGATGACGGGATGTAATTTTTCATCAGAACAAGCATCTCTCCAGATAACTGATAACAGTAAATTTCCTGAGGAATCCATGTTTCAGATTTATTCATTAATGTAATTTTCGTTTTGTTCTTACAAAATTTACAGATATTTAAATCTACATCTATGTATATAAGTTCTCCGGCAAGGCTCACTGTGTGGGAACCAGGACTTAGGTTTCGTTCATCTGTCCGATGCATGATTTTCATCATTGGAATCGGTTTCTTTTTTATAAATGATAAACATTTAACCGCTCTGTTTGCTGAGTTTTCAAATCTGCGTACATATATTTCTATCATTTTGATACTGTGTCTAGATTGTTGCAATTTCGAGTTGATATAAAAGTATGCCTCTTTTGAATTTTGTAACGTATTATCTATTAAAATCTTTTGTACTTCAGCTGATGAGGCCATTTTTAGTGAGAGTTCAGTCAAAGCCATTTGACACGCTTGAAAATCAGATTTAATTCCAGATAAGAGTTCGTGATTGTAAAGAAGCAATTCGCTCCTGGTATGAACAATTCTGTCCCAGTGTTGCTGTCTTTGGTTTTTATAGGCAGACATAATGTCCAGAAGTTCATGTCCTACATGTTCATTAGAAAAGTCGCAAACTGGGCATTCGCAGGACTGACGCCAGTATGTTTATGTTCTCTCTGGGTGTTCCCTGCAATGCTCTGTTAGTATAAGCTCCTCTTTATCTGAATGGTGAATTAAAACATCATGATATTTTGTGTCGAAATCAAACATATGTCTCTCTTTACATTTAACACACAGAAAAAAATTACACACATCGCAGTACATTTTATCTCTCACGTACCCATTACAAAGAGTACACTGTGTTTCCTTTAATTTTATAAGTAATTCACCCATGATGTTTTTCTATTCTTCTCAGAGGATACTTTTGACGCATGAAACTTTCCAATTCGTATTTGTTTGTTTGCTACGGTGCTATATCTAAATAAGAGAAATACTTATTGTTAGTTATTATAATAGCAAAACAATTTCATATGACATGACGACAAAATACGCAAAAGAAGAATTCAAAGCAGGAAAAAAAAAGATTTATAAAGGCCAACATTGATAATGTAACAAATGAGCAGAGGCAACGAGGACGTCTGAAAACAAAAGCGAGATCAGGAGTCAATGAGAAGTTAACATCCCCTGTCAACTTTTTGCTCTTTGGTGTGATCAGGTAAACGCAAAATTAGTAACGTTAGGACCTCACAAATCGAATCTAGACGTCAGTCGAGACTCATTTAAACGACATATTGTATATTTTATTGCATCGATCATATATACATAGTATATATACCATTTGAAAAATGTTATCTCTAAACAATGCATATTATATTCTTGAGACATCACTTATTTTGTCAAAACTTCCCTTGTTTAAGAAAGTCTTAAGTTTGTTCCTAAAACATTCAAACATTCCATTTCATCACGGTCTAAGCGACCACGAGACATATAAACTCCATGCAGGCGAAAATAGTATATGCAAAATAAATAAGGGAATTGACAAAAGAAAAGATGCAATCACTTATCTGAAAATTTATTTATTTTCTGATGCTATAATATTGTTGTTCTCAAGTTGAATATTCAAATATAAAACAGATGTGTCACTCTCTGTGGTAGCTTTCATTTCGAATTCTATGGGGTTTATCAATGCAGCATAGGAAAGAAATTGAACAAAATGAAGTTCAGAATTAAATCCTTTTCTTCACGAAGATGGTTTTGAATCCCTTCAAAATCGTAAGTAATAAAAAAAAACCTGTGTGTTTATTCTGTATTTATTAGACATGTATTTCAATAAACATTCCGGTAAGAAAAGTACGAATTGATTTTAAAGGGAAGTGTTTATTTTGAGAGGACTTTACAAATTTCATAAGGGCGCAAGTTTAAGACAATAAATATGAAAAGTTTTAGGTTAACCTTTTCATTGATATACAATTTTCGTCATATATTATGAAAAAGTGCACCAATTAGGAAAGTTGTGTTCACTGTACAGTTTCGAACATGCATTTGTATAAATTTCAAGACATAATCATTTTGAATTTCCCTTTGAACGATATGTTTAAACTTAAACTTATGCTTAGACAAAGGATCTCCATTCTAAGTATATTGGCTCGATTCCCACATAGCATATCATTATCATCATGGATCATTCTTTAAATTTCATTAAATTGGTAAGTATTATACTTACCTAATCTCACCAGTGTTGTAACGAGATAGGTTTCATAGTTTTTATTTATCTGAGAAACGTCACCACAGGTATTTTGAATGACAATTAGCTAGATCGATCAATGTAAAAAAAAGTTTAAATTTAAAGTCTACATGATTCGGATCATAGGCTGTACTATAGACGGATCATTAATGTTTTTCTCTGCACATTTAGACAGGCAATATGATATATATTTTTGTTGCACATAATTTCATTGATTAAATGATTGTATGTTGTTTTACGTTCTGTTTGTAAAGAACCCACAACTTTCACTTTAATGCAGTGATTCAAAAACCAAGAGAAAAGTTACTGGATCTGTTACACAAGAGACATCCTGTGGTAGTCCGGCCGGAGAGCATAGAAGAATTACTAGTAAACTACTTATAATGACTGAGACTAGATCAAGTCATTCTTGGAATATTTCACCGAATAACGGGAAATTATGAGGCTGCTTTGAAGAATACATATCAACAATCTCTTTCAGTGAATCTCTTAAACAAAATTCAGGCCATCCAAATCCGAACAGAAGATTTAATAGTCAATATAAATCACAACAGAATAATAAGGATGATGTTATATCTTTAGATTTTCCCGTTTTCCCGATCTTCACAAGCAGAATGCAGAGTCCCCATTATGTGGTCATCAAAAACTATATACTTATATATGTACTTTTCCATTGTTTAAACATCCATCCCTGCGGATCCCATGGAGAAAGAACCACTACCTTTGGATCTTCAGATTCTACCTAAACCTGGTTTCATGATGAGAAGATATTTACTACTAAAATGTTGTACTAAAAAAGGCTTAAAAGCTTCAGTCAAATACATGTAAGTCGATATTTCAGGGTTGTTTATAAGAGAATGCATCTCGAATATTATATGACTTTGTTTGCAACTGCAACATATATAATTAGATTGTAATGTTGTTACACGAATTGACACTCCTGGGACCGTTTTACATACACAGTGTAGAACTTACGAGTAAGAGCAGTATTCAATTATACTTGTATCCTTTTAATTTACTTTATATTGAAATCAGTATTTATCTTTTTCAAAAGAATATAGAATGTATAATGTAGTATATTCTTTTTAATGCTATCAATATTAAACAAAATCATTTATTTTACAAAACTTTACAATTAATCAATTCAAGTTTTCGGTCTTAGTCATTCGTTCTTTTAAAATGAAAAAGAGCTTCTGATCAACAAAGATGTTTTGCTTTGAATATCCCTGACAAAATTACTATAATACATGTGTATTTCATATTAATTTTAAACGTTATACAGAGTGATTCTGTCTTTCGATATATCTGTACACACACAACCTGTTGTCTTTAATAGATCGAACCCACAGAAGATGAGATTTATCGTCGTAACTGAGACCACATGGACCACTTAAACCGTGTTCCGTTGTCAGTAGCAAGGAAAGGAATTTGCCATCTTTGTTAATCATATGCACTGTGCTAGGATTTTGGTTAGCTATAAGGATGTTTGACAGTGCATCTGTACAAATCCCCCACATATCTAGTTCCAGTCGGGGGTCGTATTGTGATCCATAGTAGCTGAAGCGATATCTTCCATTTCGGTCTATCACAACTAGAAATGATCGTTCAAAACTAAGATAGCTTAACCTATCGGAAACAATAATATCTCCGTTTCGGTTCTCTGTGATATGTTCAGGGTCATAATAAAGTAGACAACCCTTGTCATGAAACTGGAAGGTCTGGTCCTTTTCTTTTATTCCCTTGAATCTAATCACTTTACTCTCTTTATAATAGGGAGCAAATAACTGGCTGTACTGGGGGTCTTTTTTCATTAAAAGGAGCAAATTTCCGGAGAATTGAGAGCAAAAAATTTCGGACGGTTCCCAAAATTCAGATTTTTTCGTCAGTGTTATTTTTGTTTTGTTATCCTTACAAAGTAAACATAAATTAGAATCCAAGTCGATGTAAATGAGTTCTCCAGCAAGGCTTACTGTTTGTGAACTAATACTTTGATTATCTGTTCGATGATGTAAAATATTACCAGTAGAGTCTATCAGAAAGAGATCAATGCCGCCACCACTCACCCAGATCTGGTCTGACGTCACAAACGAAATGCAAGTACTACAACTAGCTCCAGGAACGGTGAAAGTTTTTCGTAGCACTGGTCTAGGCATTATTTTCAGAAGTTTATCATTTTCTAAATGTCTTTTTCAGACCTCAGCGAGTTTGATTTTCCTTTGAAATAGACCTACGTCTTTCATACTGATTTCATGTTTCAGGGAGACTGTTAAAGTTTTAGGAATGTCCTGTTTCCTCGGAACAGATTTCTTTTTTATAAATATTAAAAAATGTACTGCTCCGTTAGCCGAATGTTCAAATCTGAGCACGTACTTCTCTTAGATCTTTAACATTTTGTTTCGATTGTTGTAATTTAGAGTTGATATTAAAGTAGACCTCTTTTGTATTATTCAAAACCATATCAATCAGATTTTTTTCTCGTTGAGCTTGTGATAACATTTTTATCCGGAGTTCAGTCAAAGCTATTTGACACGTCTTGAAATCAGATTCAATTTTGGCTAAAATGGCCTGGTTGTAAAGAAGTTTTTCGCTGCGAATCTCAACAATTTTCTCCCAGTGTTGCTCTTTTTGAATTTTATAGGCAGACGTAATGTCCACAAGTGTGTGTCTTTCATGTTCATTATAAAAGTCACAAACTGGACATTCACAGGATTGACACCAGTATAAATATTTTCGGTCTGTGTGTATCTTGCAAGACTCTGGATCTGGTATCATCCATCCACCATCCTTTGTTGGGTGAATGATCTCGTGGTATTTGGTGTCCAGGTCGATCACGTGCTTCTCTTTACAAGGAACACACAAATAAAATTGACAGGTCTCGCAGTACATGTAGTTTTCCATGTTACCCATACATAGAGAACATTGTGATGCCTCAAATTTTGAGAGTAATTTACTCATGATATTCCTTTCAAATGATTCTTTTGCGCAGGAAATCTCCCATTCGTTAATTTTATTTTTCGCGTGTTATGCGATCAAAATCAGCTGTAAATAGAAGAAATAATTTTTTAATGACATGACCTCTTTTTTATTATATTTTTTTTGTATATAAAATGCCATTATAAGAACAATTTTATTTACTTCTTTATATTGAAATATTTTTTTTAAAAAATGAAACTGATACTGTATTAAAATTCAATTCTCTTTACATGGGCCGGTGTTTGAATACCTGTATTTATAACACGTGTCACTACATGTATAATAAATGACTTACAATATGAACTTACTTTCTTACAAATGAATAAACATGTAATAACCATGCATCCGCTTATATTTTAAAAAGGTGCAGACAAATTTGTAAGTGGATATCACAATCTTGTCTACCATATTGGTGATACTAGTAACGTGCGCATTTTGGTGTTTTGCGTTATATTTTAAACGAACATATTACAGTGTATACGCTTGACTATATGATCTTAAGACCTCAAACATCCACTGTGAGAACTTTTTGTAAAGGCGGATGACATTTCTTAGCACACGAGATCAGGGGCCCGTTTCACAAACGTTTCCTAAGATATGTCGTAAGACATAACTTAAGATATGCCTAAGTTATAACTTAGGAAGTTCCTAAGATTTGTCACAGCTGTTTCACGAAACAATCTTATCTTATTTTTTTCCTAAGTCGTTTCTTAAGTTGTGTATAATTTAAAGACTAACGAAATAACCTCTCCGCTCTATCAACAACTCTCAGTATGCCGCTCTATCTACAACTCTCAGTATGTTAGTATGGGTTATATTTTTAGCTTCAAAATGGGAGGGGCGGGAGTATTGGGGATTACCCCCGCTTTCAAAGGACTGGGACAGAAGTATGTTTTAACTTTGCGAAGTTTGCTGGTAGAACTAAGCATTCACAGAAACACCCTTTCAAGCCCTCTTCCCTTCCGGGCACCCGATATTTGTATTTTTTAAACATTGTTTTACGTGTTATACGTTTAATTTATTTTGCTCTTTATAAGGTATCTAATTGTAAATGAAATTCAAAAATGATTGCTTCTTAGCGAACACGTGCACATGTGAGGGCATTCTTAAAAAAAATATTTGCCAGTGATACTCAACGTTAGTTATTCGTGCTGTATAAAGCTTTCTCAAATATATAAAATAAGAATGCCACACCAGAAAAAAAAGTCCCAAATTCGTGACTACAGATATGAAAATACTAAAAGGAAATCTATTGAAATCTCATGCATAGCTAGCTATACATTGTAGTATGCGGAGAGGAAGACGGGTTGTAATCTCATGGTCGTAAGAACTGACGGAGCACAGGAGGGGTGGGGGGTAATAATAATAATTTACCAATATATAGAAAACTCTACAAAACAAAACTGCGATGTGCTTGTGTTCCCTTAATAATAACGTCCCAGAGGAGATTAGATGCAACCATTTTTGAGAGAAACATCTATATATCTGGAGCTTGGCTGGTGGTTCATTAAAAATCATGTACTTATAGAAAGTGCACAAGTGTTTCCATTTATCTAAAATATCATTTTTCAAATTGGAATTTAATATTAATTAAAATAATAGTAATATATAAAAGAAATATACATGTACATGTAGATAAAAAAAAACATAATTTATACATGCATGTATAATAATGGATCAAATCATGTGCTAGTTTTTTATTTACAAAGACGTGCTCTTCAAATGATGGGGAATTATTCCAGCATAATTATGTACACCTATTTCACCAGCTCCAGTTTTGTGAACGGACATTTTCATATACTTTTGACTAATTTTGACACATGTTTGCCAATTATTGAAATCCTAGTACTGAATAATTTCATGCAAAGTAAAGCAGTTTTAACCCGGAGAGAACGTAATCATCCATATAGTAGTAGTCCATTGGATTTTCTCTCCCAAAACACATTCTTTCTCTCCATAAGAAATCTCAGATATGAAGCCGCAATATTATGTTTCTTCCTAAGTCATCGATTTACCTGTCCTAAAGTTACGACATAACTTAGGAATATCCTAAGATAAGACGAGGTTAGTGAAACGGATAAGTAATGAACTTAGGAAAAAGTTCTTTCCTAAGATAGAACTTAGTCCTAAGTAGGCTTTGTGAAACGGGCCCCTGCTTTATAAGGCTATATATGCAAACCTGAAAATACATTTATATGCGAATATTGTGTATACTGACCTACTTCGAAGGTATTCTTCCTGATTGCAATACTACCAACCAATTTTTAAGGTTTCGTCAAAGTCAAAATTTTGAAAAAAAATCATATCTTAAAATGTATCAATACTTTGATGAATATATAACATATGCACATCAATATCTTTCTTATGAATTACAGATTATAGATTTAATGGAATAAATGCAAAAAAAAAATGTCTTTTAGCAAATACTAACCTTAAAAATAGTCCATCTTTGAAAAAATCATTCTTTCTTCTTAGTCCTTTTATTTTCTCCCTCGTTTCACTCCTCCGCAAATATTTTCTTGACTAATTTATTGAAAAACAAAGACAAGAGGCCCATGGGCCACATCGCTCACCTGAGTAACTTGGGTGATGAAGTTCTTTACCCAATTTCCCCTCTTGCTATACCTATCATGCCCCCCCACTCCCCACTCCCCTGTCATGATTTTAATACTTTAGAATCTACACTAGCAAGGATGCTTTCACATAAGTTTCAGCTTTCCTGGCCAAGTGGTTTTTGAGAAAAAGATTCTTAAAAGATTTTTCCTAATTTATCTATGTAAAACTTGGATTCCCTATTGTGGCCCCGCCCTACCCCTGGGGGTTATGATTTTAACAATTAAATATCTACTCTACCCCAGGATGCTTACACATATGTTTCAGCTTTCCTGGCCCAGTAGTTTTTGAGAAACACATTGGATAGGATACACATAGGATTCCCTATTGTGGCCCCGCCCTACCCCCGGGGGTCATGATTTTAATAATTTAATATCTACTCTACCCCAGGATGCTTACACATAAATTTCAGCTTTCCTGGCCCAGTGGTTCTTGAGGGGAAGATTTTTAAAGATTTGTTCTATATATTTCTATGTAAAACTTGTATTCCCTATTGTGGCCCGCCCTACCCCCGGGGGTCATGATTTGAACAATTTAGAATCTACACTACCCCAGGGTGCTTCCACATAAGTTTCAGCTTTCCTGGCCCAGTGGTTCTTGAGAAGAAGATTTTTAAAGATTTGTTCTATACATTTCTATGTAAAACTTGAATTCCCTATTGTGGCCACGCCCAACCCCCGGGGTCCATGGTTTTAACAATTTAATATCTACACTACCCAAGGATGCTTCCACATAAGTTTCAGCTTTCCTGGCCCAGTGGTTCTTGAAAAGAAGATTTTTAAAGATTTGTTCTATACATTTCTATGTAAAACTTGAATTCCCTATTGTGGCCACGCCCTACCCCCGGGGGTCATGATTTTATTAATTTAATATCTACACTACCCAAGGATGCTTCCATGTAAGTTTCAGCTTTCCTGGCCCAGTGGTTCTTGAGAAGAAGATTTTTAAAGATTTGTTCTACACATTTCTATGCAAAACTTGAATTCCCTATTGTGGCCACGCCCAACCCCTGGGGTCCATGGTTTTAACAATTTAATATCTACACTACCCAAGGATACTTCCACATAAGTTTCAGCTTTCCTGGCGCAGTGGTTCTTGAGAAGAAGATTTTTAAAGATTTGTTCTATACATTTCTATGTAAAACATGAATTCCCTATTGTGGCCCCATCCTTCCCACGGGGGTCATGATTTTAACAATTTAATATCTACACTACCCAAGGATGCTTCCACATAAGTTTCAGCTTTCCTGGCCCAGTGGTTCTTGAGAAGAAGATTTTTAAAGATTTGTTCTACACATTTCTATGTAAAACTTGAATTCCCTATTGTGGCCACGCCCAACCCCCGGGGGTCATGGTTTTAACAATTCAATATCTACACTACCCAAGGATGCTTCCACATAAGTTTCAGCTTTCCTGGCCCAGTGGTTCTTGAGAAGAAGATTTTTTAATGACCCCACCCAATTTTTGTCTTTTCTTGATTATCTCCCCTTATAAGGGAACTTAGCCCTTCATTTTTACAATTTAAACTCCCCTTCCCCTAAGGATGCTTTGTACCAAGTTTGGTTAAA